GACCCCCATGCAGCAGGCAGAAAAAACACCCTACATCCCCCACAAATCCAGCCTAAGCACTGATTTATACTTCACGGGCGCATTCCTAAGGCCAGTGAAAACTTTTCTGTTGACTGCACTGTGGTCTGGATTTCATCTGCTGAATGCAATGCAAAGGGCCTGCAAGAGGTGGGAGGCACTAGGAAAGAACATCTTTTAACAAAATTTCTGGACAGCCTTCTCGACTGTCTGCCTTCCCAGCATTACAGACCTATATTTTGTATCCAGTAATTAGCCAGCCGGCGTGGAAAATGCATCGCCTCTCTCCTGATGGCAGTGTGAATACCAGCGGGCAGTCTTTAAGTTCCCGTGCTGGAGTTTTATAGCTCGCAAGGCACCCGGCTGGGTTGTTTCTTTCCCTTGGAAGCAGAGCACCGAATGTTCATCCCAGCCAAGTGATTCTGTTTTATAGAAGTGACACCACCCTGCAGCGGGTGAAGTTTTCTGCCTACCCTGCATAGAAACCCATTACAGAAACTCGACCTGGTGTGAATTAACATGGCAAGGTCTCCCAGGGAAGAGAAAACCTAACCCATCAAGTCCAGTGGAAATGGTTTATATTAGCACAAATATGAGGCCCCTTAAAAAAAACACAAAAACCGATCATTTCAGCTGCTATAGAGAGGGGCTGAACTTTCAGCTTTGCACCTGCTTGCTACTTATGACCTAACTGACCATGAGCTTGCAAAATGATTTATTTGGGTGGTTCTGGCACTCGGGACTTTTAATTGAATACCTGCATCTTTAAGGTCTTCATCCATTAAGACTGGGCCTATGGTTTGATTCACCGCATCGCGTGATTTCTTAACTCCTTTTCCAGGCGCCTTGGGATCTGCGCCAAATGTCCGTTCCCACCTCTGGGGCTCCTCAGCTCGATTCCTGTATCCTAGTGAAGTTCTCTCTCTCTCAATATGGTGGCTATAAAATTAGACAAGCAATTAATGATTTGAGGTGGTGTTTGTGTTTGCCGATTAATCACGACTAACCCGGGGAAGTCAATAAAGGTATGAATCAAAAGATGCTGGAAGTCTTTCTTAGGGGCTGCAGAGTGCTCAAGCCTGCATGTTTGCAAAGCTGCAAAACTGTGAAGTAAGAAAAGTTTTCCTTGTGGTTCATTAATTTTTTTCCACTCTGAAGGTAGGCGGCAAGGATGGGTTTTCCCTTTGTCTCCTACGGCACTGCTGGGCTTCACAGTGTTGAAGTGCCTGACCCGACACCTGTAGATACAGCAGGAGACTAGACAAATTGACAGCATCCATGAAAGGAAACTAGAAGGCTGAATTTCCAGCTCAGATGCTGGCATGCTGCTCCGAGTCTGCAACAATTTCAGCAGATATTTAGATTTTTTCATGTGCAATAAGATATCATCCACAAATCTGGGACCTCGTCATATGCTGGACCCCATGGCTGATTTCAGCTGAACACGGAGAAATAATTCTCATAACGACGCCAAAGGCATGAGGCCTTACCACTGAAATGAAAGGAGTTTTTCCAGCAGTATAGACTCTATGCTACACAGCTGAGCAGAGCAAGCCAATTCAATCCAGCCCACAGCAGTGATGCGCATTAGTCGTACGTTATAGTGGGAAAAAAAAAAATCGAAACACCTGTAATACCATTATCCAACAAGGCAAAACGAACAATATCTTTGCTTCTAAGAGTTAATCCACCATCAACGGGCTTCAGGAAAATATTTAATTTGAACAAAATAGTTTCAAGCAAGCATAGAATCACCCAGGGTGAAAAAAATAAATACGTTCATTTTCTAGCGTTACTCGTTTCATAATATATTATGCTTAAATAATAATGTTTTCATTAATTTTAAACTATTTCGTTTTGTAATCACGATCAACCCTCTAAAGCACTGTGTTCGAGTCATTAAAGCTTAGTGGTATGCTTCTGTAGGTAAATTAAGAAAATTAGTAGTCATTAGGAACAGATTTAGATTTGCATAAATGTAAAGAAGTATCTGCTGCTCTACTTAAGAATATGTATAGCTTCTGCTCTAAATCCCATGCAAGTCAACAGGAGTCTTTCCATCAACTGCAACAAGCTTTGGATGAGGCCCGAAGTCTTATGGGGAATGCTACAATAGTCCAGGATTTCCCCTGCCAGTAACGTTTTCCGTTTCTACTGGGGTGCCCCTGCTGGATACGAATGCAGGGAGGGCTTGAAGGAAAGCATGTATTCTTTGTGAATGAACAATCTTGCCAGGCTTTTGCAACTGCCTAGCATGCATGCACGCACGCAGTCAGGACTGCAAGGCTGGAAGCAGCAAGCTTATGCAGTCAAACGCTGCAGGCTCCTCTCTGGAAGGAGTGAAACGCAGCATCCAGGTCTGAGCCAAATAGCCCCAAAGCAGCAGTAACCTCAGAGTGTCGCCGTCTGCTCGTCACAGTAATAATGCCTTATTGCTTTTTTTAAAGTGTTGCTCAAGCGGTCTCCCCCACTGCAGCCCTGAGCCCACTGCTTTCAATACTTGTTCCTAATCAGTATAAAATATGAACATACCTGCGCTGGTGAACAGAGAGCACAGTTACCATTCTGCGCTCTCACATGTGAGACACATCTATGCACAAGAATGCAGGAGTCACAGTTTAGGAACATTTTGCGCTCCACAAGGCCCCCGGTCTGCTAGAGACTCGGGTTCATAGTCACCGTTCCACCGGTAGCAAACTCGCCAGTAACAAGAAATGAAAGTGCAGCCAAGAAACCTTTTTCAAGATTCCTGTGACTTGTAATCAATAGCAACATGAATTATAGATCAGCTTCGTGCCGAGATTTATTTGAAAGCCTTTCCCTATGGGGAGCTAAGTAAATGCACAGCACTGACTCACCCACCTGCTGTGCAGGGCCCAGATAACTAGATGTGAAGGGCTCTTATTCATCTACGCATTCGATTTATATAGATTTAATGGCACCTATTTTTTTTTTTCTAGAGCAGACTGGTATATATGTGTGTGCATTTGCCTGAGGCTGCTTTGGGAGACGGCTGTTCAGAGGGCTCACGTGAAAGACCATTACTGCGCCTTGGGGGTCTCATGGTCCAAGTCCGGAACACCCGTTACTCACTCTGGAGTCATTGGAAGCTGCAGATGTTCATCACTTGGAGCCCTTAGAGAAGGAGGCTGTGGATGAAGGCCTGGCTCTGTGCAAGGCCATGTCAAAGTCCACAACTTCAGCAGCATCAGGGTTTCCCCCTGGGTGTCTGGACTCCAGCACTCTGTTATCCAGCTGCAGCCCCTTGACACCACCTATCCATACTTCAGTTTGAGGGCAAAATTAACCCCTAGACAAAGCCCATACAAGGCCTCTAGAAAACATCACCTTCCTGGAGGGGCAAAATGGGACCCAAGCAGTGCACAGACCTCAAGCTGGCACCCGAAATCAATAGATCCACCCGCACTTCATAGGAGATTTGAGAGGCTCAGTTAATTAATATTTGCAAAGGGTGCCGAGCTCCTTCGCTGAGAGGTATCATTAAAAATGCAAATGATTACCAGTAGTTGTTGGACATTTTTTGTAAATATTTAGGATTAATATTATAATGCTATGATCATTCCATTTAACCACAAAAATATGGGAAAAGGTAGCAAGAATTGAGAAAGAAATCGAGAGAGACATAGAAAGGCAAAAAGTACTGTAGGGCTGGGCTGGCATTTTCTAATTTCATGGTCTCAAGGTTGAAACTGAGTTTTTTTAGAACCCAGTCTGCTTGAATGGAAAAGTTTTCTGTAAGAAAAATGCTCTGTTGTTGAAATCCCGAACGCTCACATGGATGTCTCTATGGAAAAAAAAACAACTTTGACACAAGCTGAAATCAAAACAGAGCTCTTGTCTTGTTCTGGCTCCCTCATTTCATTTCAGTCCGACTTACATTTTGTATTATGCAGTCTTTCATACTGCTTATGTATACATTCATTAAATCTTTATTAAAATATTTGGACACCACTGAAGTGCCATATGCCAATAAGGGTGTTGTGCTGCTTCCAGTTGAAGACTTTGGGAATTTTTAAACTGTTTTTTCTACCTATAGTACATAGGATTAAATAGTTCATTACTCAGAGCAAGTCTTCCCACTCCTTGCTGGGTGTGGTAATAAGCTTATGACAGCAGATTAGTAAGGCTTCTCTTTGTATGCAACCGAATAGCCCAAGTTAAAATGATAAAGCCAGAATGCAATGCTGGGTATATTTATTTTTTCCCCTAGATTTTAGGATTAAGGCTCAGATTTAGCATGTTCTATTATAACTGGTGATATTTTCGAGCTAAAACAGTACCTTCCACCTATATCAGCCAGAATTTCTCTCGTGGCTTCAGAGAGCTGGTTGATGCATTTCATCTTCAACTATTTCCCCCCTGCCCCCAAATATCAGATTTCATCAACTTTTGTTACCAAGAAATATCCCAATTTCAATTTGTAATTCTTTTTCAAATGGGCAAGTTTGAAAAAAAAATTCTAACAAACATTTGATAACATTTGGGAGAAAGACAGTTTCATTTTAAAACATAAAAATTGAAAACATCAACTTTTTGGAATCCAGTCCCCCCCCTTGTTGTTCCATGAACATTTTTGATATTTTGACTTTTATCTCATTTCAGCAAGAAAACAGATGTCAAAATACTGGACTCTCTCACAGGATGGAAATTTCACAGCTGAAAAGAAGAGCTTGTCCAGGTCAGATTTTCCTTCTCCCGCCCCCTGCGAGTAGCAATTGCCCTATAAATAGTTCTATTGACTTTATTCCGCTACTCAGATGAGCGAATGCTATTCAGTGTGAGAGAGGACTACAAAATTTGTCCATCAGCACCACACATTCGATGATCCAATGCCATGACAAAAATAAGTGAGAACCATAAAATGTCCTTAATAATGTAGCATCAGAGAGATCTTTTCCCAATACCTGAGCAGCATTGTGCAGCCAACAAAGGATGACTCCAGCCCAAATATTACACTTTGGGAGTTCGGCAGCTGCCACGTGGATGCTTAGAGAGTGTGAACGGTCGGTCAGGAACGGTCTGTCCCTTGTATTTTGGCACTCAGGAGCCTGGTTCAGGACTCACTGGACTAGGTGTTAGACACGCACATAACAAAAATCTGATCTCGATCCTGGAGAGTTTGCAATCTCAGACCAGGGACAACAACTTAGACAGAAAAATCAATGAGGCTAGAGGGGTCATCACGATAAGCAATGGTCTTGGCGCACCACATGCCAAACCACGTCAAGTTGTCGAGGCTTGTCACTATATCCCTCACTCTGGAGTCGCTGCGTCTCACTTGAAGGAACAACCTGCCATCTGGGATAGGAGAGTCCTCATATTTTTCACTGGGCTGATTTGATCTGTAACCAGTAAAACCAGTTGTAAAAAGATATTACTTACCCCTGACATGGCCCGCTTTGTTTATTCCTCTTCTGGGCACAACTGTTTCCCGACACGCCAGGCCTTTTTGAGGTCTGTGCTGTCGATTCTGCCCGGGTGGAGGGTGTCGTTGGACTGGAAATCTTCCCAGCCTTCTTTATTACTTCTTTGACATCTGCCAGACTGTTTATAAACTAAATGGGACAGGGGAAGGCATGACGGTTTACCTGGGCTTCATCAACTGGTGGCAGTTCTAGTTTCAGTCATTTTCCATTTTAAGGAACAGCTGCAGCTTCTAGCTCCAACCCTTACAGGCTAAAAAACCAACCCGTGAGCTCCCACTGACTTAAATGGGAGCAGTGGTAGGCCAGCGCTCGATGCCTTTGGTAACAGCATCCTTAAAACAGGTGCGAGGGACCAATTTTTACATTTCTGGAGCACTAGGGCAAGTCTGGATTTGCTGCACTGAAAGCAGGGCTTTGTCTTGCATTGGACTGACATGAGTGAGTCCTAAATGCTGAAACCTTCCTCTGGAGGTGGACAAGGACCTTTCTACCTGCTGTAGGCAGAAGAAAGGATTTCAGGGACCAATGCAAGGGCGTACACCCTCTGTGCACCAGAGAGCTCCCCATAAGGGAATGCAACATGTCCTGGGCATGTACCCAGTGCCAGATTTTGCCTGGCAGACTGGCACTAGTGTTATAATCCATTATAATCAGTAAAGTCCCATCCTAATTAGTGTCTCCAAAACCTCCTTTTAATCTCCCACGCGCAAGTTGCTGTCTCAAAATAATACCGAGCCCATCTTCCATTGCTTGGCATATAATACATTCAAATCTACACCAGATGTCGGGTCTTATTGTTACCCCCAAACTTTACCCTTTTATAGGGCTCTATTAACCTGTTGCTGCCCCGCCAAACTATGCAGCTCTTGCTGGAGTTGTGCTGTCGACTTCTGCATCAGCAAGATGTCTCTCTGCTGCTTTAATAAGAGCTTCCTCTCCTGATGGGCTGCTCTATAGATATTTCGGAGGTGCAGGATTTCCACCTGCAGAGTGAAGAAAGGAAGGCTGGCAAGTAAACAGCAGTTAATGCGCAAGCACAAGTAGGAGAGAGACCTGCAGATCAAGGTAGACGAGTATTTATTAACAGATGGCAATAAGTCTTTGGGAACACCGCTCCTCAAAGCTGTCGTGTTGTTAAGGTTTAAGTATCAGGGGTCAGAGGTTTAAGTATCAGGAGGGTTCCTCTTTGGTGCAGGCTGGACCAGACTGCTGGTAGATGCTCAGCACCTTGCACTCATTTCTCCGCATGCTCTATAAAAAGCACACGTCCTGGAGCTCTGCAAGGAGAGGAGGCTGGGGCAGAGTCAGGCCCAGAAAACACATCTCCTCGCTCCCAGGTCTGTGCTGTAGTTTCACACCCCCTTTCCTGACAGCATCAGGAAAAGCGGACCCCTCGCCCACCAGCTATCGAGCCAACTAACTGTATTGCAGCCATGGAGGCACAGACATGCCGTGCAATCTGCTGTTTAATGCCAAGAATAGAAAATTGCAGTAACAACAAAGTGGCAGAAAGAAATTGTGCTTCTTGTCTCCTTCAAATTTATAGAGTGCAGTCCCTGGCACAGAAGTAGCTTGTCTGATGTATAAAACATGACGCGTTTTATAATGGCCATGCAATAACACTAGTAAATCTTTTCTGCTGCCCAAAAGGCTCTCACGTGCTCTCGGTGTCCCATCTTCCCTGGGTTTTCGCAAGAAGAAAGCTGAAACGTGCAACTACAGGGGTATTACCTGCTCTTGTTTTAGCTTGGTCAGGATTTCCCGTTGCTTCTCAGCTATGGCAGTCATTTCCTGAGCGTCTCGCAGGTTATCCAAGCAGCTGAAAGCCAGACAGAGACGGCAGTCTTTAGCAGGAGAGAAGGCGTGCGTGTGCGAATCAAACTTATGGAAGTTGTCAAAAGCAGCTAGAACTGCAGGATGAAGTGATTTGCAAACCTGGCCACTTCATCTATATGCTGGAAGAGAAGCAAGGTACCATGGAGCCGATGGCCCTTACTGCTGATGCAACCTGAGAGAAACCCAACCGCTTATTTCACAGAGACCACCAGATAATGGCACTCCCCGGAGGTTACCAGCCTGGATTCACAGCAACCATTGAAACCAAGAAGACTTATTACTATATTTACCCCAGCCCTCCAGCTATGCCCTCTCCCAAAACCAAGCCCGAGGCACTGACTATTTTGCTTTTTGCCACAATCCCTGAACCTTTTAAGCCACAAGCAGACCCTGTGCAGACTCGGACCAGTGACGGCTCCCTACCTGGGGATCCCGTAAGAGCACAGCAGTGCCCAAGCCATGGTTAGTCTTTTCCAAGACCGAACCAGGGCGTCTCACAACCGCGGTGCAAAACCCCAGGGTAGTTTCCTTCAGAAGCGAATTCACTCGATTTGCAAAGTTGAGAGAGTGAATTTGAACCTCATCTACATTTCACCCCAAACAACAGCAAGGTAGGAGAGGCTGCATCACTTCCACTTCACAGCCCTGATCTGACTCTGAATAATGGCTCACACAAAAAAAAGAGTTAAGTCTCTTACTCTCATTAGAGGAGCGGGTCCACCTGTCTGCCCTGCTGGAGAGGGGCTGGCCCAGGTGTGGGGGATTTGCTGATTGCTCTAAGGGAGGCAATGGAGGTGGGAGCAGTGTGTGCTTAGGGAAAAGCTGTGCTCTGGACTCGCCTGGCACTAGCTGGACTAAATTTGGAGTTCCTAAAAGCTGAGGGGAGGCCTTTTGTACCACAGTTTGGCTCTGAAGTCAAATTTATTTCTGTGTCATGATATGCCCTCCCACAAGGGGCATGGAAAGTCCACCCAGCAAGGAGGCTGCCTTGCTCTGAGCAGCTTGCTGCTGTTAGATGCCATGTGCTGACGTGGGCATTGCATGAATAAATCTGCCTTACCACTCCTGATACTCCAGCCAGGCCAACTCAGCCCTGGTTTTCTCCTGCAGGGCTTCCTCTCGCAGTCGGAGGAGAGCGGCCTGGTGCCGGGCTCGCAGCTCTTCTTCGCGCAGGTACTGCTCAGCCATGGCCAAGCCAAACTGGGAAAAGGTGCTGGAGCCTCCATAGAACTGGCTCACTTCGCTCCACTGAAGGAGAAGCAGAGGGTGGAGGGAGAGGTTACTTGAGAAACCTCACGGGTGCCTTGCAAGGCTGGCATTGCAATTGCCGGTACACACGAAATTGGAAATGCTGGATGCGGGCTGAGGGGAGAGGAGCTGTGAAGCCTGGTACCTGGCTGATGGAGTCTGTCTGCTCGCTGCTGTCTCCTGAATCATCTGCTGCACGTGTCTTGCTCTTGGGCAGACTTATGGGCGCTGACAAGGGATTCAAGGATGGAGGTACCTGAGAAGAGTCCCCATGCTCTGCAGAGAGGTGTTCAAAAAAAGGAAAAAAAGACCACATTAAAGTCCTTGTAAGTACAGTATTTCTTAACACTGGGATTGCTTGGGGAGGCAGAAAAGTAATGCCTCTTGCCTCTAAATTTCATAGCATGGGCAAAAAGAATAACATTTTTAAAAAACCCTAACTTTTTCTAATATGCTCCCACTGTGGGGCACACGAATTGGCATCTGTGCTAGTACTGCAGACAATGCAAGTGCAGGGTTGGAAATCTGGTTCACTCCTGTGCCTTAATGGCTGTTCCAACATGAACTACTGCTGTATGTTTAAACAAGCAGGTTTTTTGTTTTTTACTTGCCTCTGGAGATCATGTGTTATCTATATGATGTATAACAATGATGCCCATGCTCAGTCTTGCCTGTAGAGACCAGACCAAGAGATGTTCTGCTCCCCTAGCGAGCTGACTATAGGCCTGATGCATAAAGTCAGTTGTTGAGTAGTTTTATCTGGAGACGGATGTCACCTCTCTCCCTTAATGGGCTTAAATCATGAAGTTTCCAATAGTGAATGGAAACCAGGTATGTCTTCCATCTTGCACTGAACTGTGGGGCCCGTGAATAGGTGCCCAGGTGTCATTAATCCCAGCTATCCAAGGGATGCGGTTTGATAAGAAAGGTAAAGATGTTGCTTTGGCATTATAAATGTATTTATATATATATATATGTGTGTGTGTGTTGATATGGATCTTCCTTTGGCAGATGTTCTGAGCACAATGAAAGGTTTGCTGCAATCTGGGCTGATTGCTGCACCCCCCAAATGCTGCCCCTCTCCCCACATATGCAGCAGGATCTGCCACTTCACCCTGTGGCCACCAATTGCCCGGTGAGATAGTTACCTGGTCGGTGGGTGGAGGAATCCAGGTTGGCTTCCCCTGGGGCTCTTCTTTTTGTGGTTGGTTGGGTAATCATCGTATTGCCATCCGTCTCTGCCTTCTGCACAGAAGGCCTTGGTGAACGTCCCCCCGGCGTACTGGGAGCGAGGAAGAAGACAATGCATGTTGACGTGATGATTTGCAATGGTCGCTGCACAGTGCAGTAACAGCACCAATACCTTGGTTTTAGAGAGCACGTCTCACTAGCAGAGCTCAAGACCTCTCAAAATAGTGTCGCTAACTTCTATTCAGCAGTGCACCTTGTGCGTGTGAACAGTCATTTCGTAGCATAATGGGTTGAGGGACAGTTTAGTGCAGAGGGGGAAACCGCGAAAAGGTGGGACACAACACTGTGTCCAGGGCAGCTGCTGTGCGAGCCACCTTCCTTGCAATGGCTATTTCCTTGAGGTCACAGAAATGTGCTCCTGTGTCACTGTGTTGCACAGGCCAATTTTTCACGTTTTAATCCTGTCTTAAATAGGTAGCGGGCTGACACAGTTGCGTGTCCTGTCAGGTGCTGCCTACCATACCTGGCTGCAGCTGCGTTCTCTCTTTTGGGATCACCTTCAAGTCGACACCGCCTTGGCTCTTGCTTGGCAAGTTCGAATCTTGATCTGACAGCAGAGTCGGCACTGGTGCTATCCAGCCCCTGCAAAACCAGAATCGATGCTCTGTAATAGCAATGGGTGAGCTGTCCTAAAGGTGATAGCTCTGAGTCTTTGTGGTTCTCTTGGGATAGATCTTGTTTTTTATAGTACCTTTCACACACTTCTGATTCTTAATGGGTGATATTAAAGAATGAGCTAGGTACAACGAAGTAACGGTGGTGTGTGTAAGGAGGAAAGGTATAACAAGAGGCAAAGCTTGGAGCTATCAGGAGCTGCTTTCCTGAGGAAGAGGATGTGTCCCTTTGCACTGAGCTTCCCCTCTAGTCCGTCTCCCAGCCTACAGGAAGTTTCTCCTTCATCTGAGCTGCCATTAGAAAGTTTCTTAAAGTATCATCCCAAGAACGGGCCCTCAAAGTGAGGTTTAGGTGAGCAAGACAGAAAGGAGCTGGCACAACTCGGAGGTGACGGCTCAGTCTGTCCTGCTGCTTGGACCATTGACTCTTACCTCTACATGGTGCTTGAGCAGCTCGTCCAAAGACCTCTGGCTCTCTTGGGCTTCCAGCTTGGCCTTTTCACTAAGGACTGCCAGCTGCCTTTCCTGCTGGAACTGATGGGCCTGGGTTTGGGAAACAGGATTTGAAAGGTTTTCGACTGAAGGTAGCGAGCGTCACTTCTCATCAGGCTGGCATCGAGCTAACTCAAGAGGATGGCATCCAGGAGACTCACCACAGGAATGAACTTGTGGGGGGGAAATGGGACATTATACCCCTGACACGCACCAGCTCACAGAGGATATGCTGAGAGGTGCTACAGAGAGATGCCTGATTTAACACTTGCAAAAGCTTCAAAGCAATTCCAGAGCCTTGGTCCCACTGACTATGGGACTTGGGTACTTAATGGACTTTGGGCCAGGTCCAGAAAGCTATTTCTCAAGTCAGAGACTTGGCATCTTAATTTCTTTGGACTTGGCCCTTGGGAACACCTTACCGCAGACTCTGAAACCAAAGGAAATGCAGATACAGTGTGCTTGTTTCCAGAGATGATCCTGCTTGCTCTGAAGTCAGCACCAGTGCTTGCACTGGTTCCAGTAGCAGCATGGCAGGGCGCTGCCTCTCGCTGCAGAAAACCTCATACTCCATAGGGGCTATTCTGCCTGGCCTGCTGGGCTAGAAATCTCTTTGCAAATGGCAGCTGCTTAGAGTAGAGATGTCATTAGGAGCCAATCTGTGACAGCAGTGCAAAAACAGAGGCCACATGCAAGCATGCCTGGCCTACCTGACTCACTAATTCATACAGAGGAACTAGACATAAGCTTTCATGTACGTCGGGTGCATGCTGTACCTGCAGTTTGAGAGCCAAGACATGAGACGCTTGCTTTATGCTCTCGAGATGGCTCCTATATCCCTCTTCTGCATCTCTGCAGGCAGGCTCGCCTCTGCCTAGGGAAAAAAAGAACAGGGAGATGGCATCAGTCACCATTTTTAGTCGAGGCTCCATTCTGAAGGATTTCTGAGGCTGATTTCTGTGTCTTTAATAAGGAACCGACTAGAGGAAAAAAAAAAAATGGCCAGTACTTTCAGAGCCAGTCAAAGGGAAGGTAAAGGTGGAGAAGCCTGTACTCCGAGGTACACATCTCTTAGCCGTGCCTCCAGGATGCAGCACTTGTCCAGAAATCTCTAGGACGCACCAAAAGAAGAGACCCTTGCCCTCCAGCTCCTCTGCGCACCATACTGATGAGCTTCCTTGTCCCAGTTCAGCCCCACAAGAAGTGAGATGGGTGTGTGCAGGGTGTCCTTAGGCAACTGCAGGTGCTGGAGCAGCTTTCTTTAGCCAAAAGGTGCACAGCTGGATCTGTGCACGTCTGCACTGCCCTGGTGTCTCAATGCATGAGGCACACCCCATCAAAGCCGAGGGGACTGACACGCTTGCTGTAGTGCTGTACCGAAAAGGGCCAGTTTGCTAGATCAGGGTCTTGGTTGATGTTCTGTTGCATGAAACCTGACAGCCCTTGCGGTGTGCTAGGTGCTGTACATGCACGGGGGGGAAAGAGGGTCTCCACCGCAAGGAACAAAGGGGGTTTGCTGTTCCCTTTCAGCACTAACATATGTGACACGTGGATGGGGGAACAAGTAGGACCACCAAGTGCCAGTAGCCCCATCCTCTTTGGGCTGCGCCTGGCGGATCAGGCCCACCGAGGAGATAAGAGAATAAGACTTTCCAACCTTGTTCAGCAGTTGCCAGGCTGTATCGTCACAGTGTCTGCTCCCCCATTGCCCACACCTCTGTGAGGACCACTGAGACTCCTCCACTGGGTCACGGGAGAGAAACCTTGTACTGATGCTTTCACTTCTGAGCAGGCAAAACCTGTTCTTGTTCTAGGTGTGCCTCTTGCTGCTACTGCCTAATCGCAGGGTTTCTATCTGTTGCTGCCTCAGTGAGGTAATGTTTACCAGCAATACGTTCTGGGCTATTTAAAATGCTCCGGTGGATGGATCTGCCTATTCAAGCAGGTCAGGTGTTTACCTTGAGCTGCGTCACTGCCAGAAACAAAGGTCAGAAGTGGATCCTTGTCCCTCACAAATAGAAACAGGCCTGCCTGCAAACTCCAGGTACAATCAGGATCTATAGCCACGTTTCCCAGATATGCAGAGGGGTTTGGATCTCGACTTTTGCAAATCCCAGTACTGATTCTCCATAGTCCATCTTTGAAAGGACGAAGGCTCCTTTGTTTGCGGTTACAGTTTTGACATCAGACCTTTCTTAGCTTCTGATCGGGCATCTGTAGGGAGATCCTCCAGGATGCAACTGGGTGGCAGTCTCAGTGGTTGCCTCCAAACTTGTACACATTCGTACTTTCCCTCCAGTACTGGAGATGTTGGCAGCATCCTGTTTCATTTCTCTTGAATATAAGTTTAAGGTGAGGGTCGTGTTCGTCCCTGGGACCAAAGCTGTTCCACCAAAGCGAGTGACAGTGTCGCTCTGGGCTCTGCACCTCCTGTCTTCAAACAGTTGCAGGAACATCTTGGCAGAGTGTGTGCATGGAAGTTTATTTGTGGCTGGCTTAGCCCAGGACCTCAGTCCGTGTATGGAAGGGTGAATATAACCCAGGCAGGTGCCCAGCGAGCAAATCACCCATGAAAATGCTGCAAATGCACCTAAAGCCTCCATACGCCGGGAGTGACAGCAAGCAGAAGCCCATTTAAATGAATCCTATTTCTCCAACATCCTCTTGTTTTCCCAGCTGTGGCTATTGCCTGACCATACCCTAGGCATCAAAGCGTCCTGCATTCAGAGTGCCACTTGAGTGGTTACATTTCACGTCCTCCTTTCTATTCTGATAAATGGCATTTTACTGCCTCTCTAGATGCACACAATCCAGTACAGTTTCCTATTAAAACAGCATGCCATAGCTATTTATTAAATCACTTTCCGCTGCCCCTGCAAAATCTCAGCACAGCCCTGTAGAATCCTTGCTACATATAATTAAAGAAGCTGGGCTAAAAGTCTCATTTTTCTAATCGCTTGAAGTTAGACAGAAGCACTTACGGGTGCCGTAGTCAAGGGCAGCCTTCCTATTTTCTGCCAGTGTCAGCAATCGGTCCAACCCAATTATTACAAAGATACACACTTGCAACTTTAAATGTGTGTAAGTGCAACTTGAAGGCGACAATCCTGCTAGGCTTCCTCCCTTAATGTTAAACTTCAGGTAAAGAGCAAAACTGGAATAATTCATGAGATGGCCATTTCTTTTTTTTTCTCTCTCTTTCTCTCTCGCTGGCATCCAGGTGGTTCTGAATGTTTTCTCCCCTTGTTTTCACAGTGTCTGGTTGCTGAACGCTGGGATTAGCTTTGCCCACTCTTTCTGTCCTCTTGAATTTCGTATGCTTGTGTCTAAATCCCTTGGCACACGCGGCGGATCCAAGGTCAGTTGACAGGTCGGATGTGGCTCTCCTCAGGCAATCCTGCATCGTGCTCGGATCTGCAGCTGACGTGCCCAGGTGGCAGATGACAGAGCAATGGGCTTGAGTCGCAGCAAGGGAGATTTTGTTTGGATATTAGGAAAAACGTTCTCACAAGGAGGGTGGTGAAGCACTGGGACAGGCAACCCGGAGAGGTGGGGGAGTCTCCATCCGTGGAGGTTTTAAGACCCAGCTAGACAAAGCCTTGGCTGGGATGATGTAGTTGGGGCTGGTCCTGCCTTGAGCAGGGGTTGGACTAGATGTGACCTCCTGGGGTCCCTTCAACCCTCATTTTCTATGATGTGTGGTAGTTTGCACAGTGATAACACACACTTGCCAGAAGCTAACTGGACCAGAGCCATGGATGGAGAGGCTACAAGTCAGTATTGTGGACCTGGCAAACTAAATACGAAGTAAACCTGTGACTTCTCTCTCCTCAGATGAGCTCCACTGCTATTTTTCCCAGACCTAAGGAAGGGCATTTACTGCCCAAAAGCATGTGCAACGCCTCTGCCAACTACACATTTTGTTTGGCAATGTCTTTTATTGGCCCGTCCTGGCTTCTTGCATATTCCCTGGAGCTTCACAGCTGCCCTTCTCCTCTGGCCTCTACAGGTGTAAGGGAAAGACCACCGCAGGGAAAGCTCTCATGGCAAAAAGCAACGACGCCTGACCTGTTGGAAAACCAAACCGAATTTGGTTGTTGCCTTGCCAAGCTCCTATCTGCAAGTCCTTGGCAAACACAAGCTGCGTTTGCTCCTGTCTCTACTGTAGCCCCTGAAATGCAACACTAGGGAGTCTGTTATCTCAAAGCTTTACATCTGAGAACAATTAATTGAAGCAGTGTTATTACCATCCTGAGTCTACGAACTTCCTTATTTCTCCTTCTTCTACAAACAAGAGGGCAGCACCCTCTAGTGCTGCAAAATATTATGAAGAGTGGCTACAGGTGGAAATGTGGCTTACCTCTTTCCTGGGGTGTTGGTTTTAGCTGTGTTGGTCTAAGGACATCGGCAGACCAGGTTCTTTGGGTAGACATGATCTCTTTTATTAGACCAACTTAAATAGTTGGAAAAAAGTTCTTTGCAAGCTTTTGGGCAGTGATTTAGTTGGTAAATAAAAGAGATCACATTTACCCAAAGAACCTTGTCTTCGTATGTCTTTACTAGCACTTTACTAGTTTAATTATTGTATTTCTAAGGGGGGTTGGATTGCATTTTGCTTTCATTCCTAATTCTGTAATACTTAACATGGAATCGCAAATGAAACCTCACTGTCTTTCACTGTAGAAAAACCCAAATACCATTCTAGCCTATGGAAAAAAGTGTGGCTTGGCAAACTTTTACTAAGCTGACAAGATCTAAACCGAGGTTTTGCTAAGAACTTTTTTTTCCCCAGCTACTCAGTTGGTCTAATAAAAGATATCACATCTACGCGAAGAACTATGCCACGCAAGGTCTTAACCAGGGGTGCAGGTTGTAGCCGTGTTGGTCTCAGGACATAGGCATACAAGGTACTTTGGGTGGATATGACATCTTTTATTAGACCAACTTAAATAGTTGGGGGAACAAATTTATAGCAAGCTTTTGCGTTTAAAAACCCTTCACAAGTCCTCTTACTTTAGAAAGATACCACTTGAGTCTGAGGGTGGTAGGTTTGGGTGTTGGCATAAAATAGTCTGAAGTACAAGTCCCTTTTTTCAAAAGGGATTTAAGCACCTAGGAGATGATGATGATGATATACTGACTTGCATAAATACATGCCTGCTAGGGGCTGTACTGACTTCTGTTTTTAAACCCATACTGTTATAGTTTTCAGGTGTACCCAGACCAGGCAGTGCATAGTCACTTAACAGGTATTAAATGTGCTTCACCATCTCCCTTATAAGCATATCAGTCTTGGAGGACCATGGATTTAAGGTCCCCTAACCTCAAAAACTTAGTGATTTGGGAGTTTTTTGTGTGTGCTTTTTTTTTTTTTTTTTTAAATAGAAGCAAGATGCGACCCCAAATGAACTTGAGGATTGTTATAAACATTTTCTGTGCAAAACCTCCTATAGAAACGATTAATTTAGGCTGACGGGGAGTTCTCCCTGAGATGGAGGGCTAGCAGGAAGAGGGAAAATACAGCCCTGGTCCTACCAAAAGGGGCTGTTGCTTCAGTGGGGGGTGATGGATGGGGGGAGATATATGCAGCGTATGGATCCAAGGCAATTGGAATCGGGAGGACGTTTCCTTAAATGTCAAGGTAAAATGTGGCTCATGGGTGACTTAAAAAAAACAAAACAACCTCAAACAAACCACTACTATCCATGGGGTGCCTTTCTGGTGGTCCTCTGCAGAGAATATACTCAGTTTGTCATGGTGCACAAAGCATTGTATGGCTGAGATGGGCAGTCTATAATATCAGAAAGGGATTGCATTTATTTGGACTGTTTAAAAAACAATGTCGCGAGTCAGGGATGAGCCCAATGACTTGATTCTGGGTAGCAGATAGCGACAAATACTAGACGTTGTGCAAGTTTCCACTCTGTTGCCATTGGTTGTGCTCGCCAGGCTTTGATGATCCTGTAAAGCCTGTCTTCTACTGGAAATATTTAACATGTCTTCCCCACCGCAATTAGTACTTAGGCAGCGCGTACATGTGTTAAAGGTAAATATTTATATTTTGCAGCATGCTATATAATTGCCTATCATTATACAATCTGCGCTGGAGGAAAGCATGTGCACTCTCTTAGCACCACACTGTTTCTTCTCTGCACGTTCCTCTCCCCTCCGCTACCAGCAGCGAGTGGAGGGAAAAACACGGTTTCTAGAAACAATGACATGACACTGCCTTGAAGCAACACAGGCTGGAAACTGCTCTGCTTTGGGATCCGATTTAGGGTTGGATTGAATCTCCCCTTCTCCTGACTCTTGCAAATGCTGCCGGTTTGCAACGGGCTCTTCTGCACGGAAGTCAGGCGGAGGATTTTATCATTCAACTTGTAAGTGGGGGGGGGGTTGCAAAAAGGCTCCCGAACTGGGGCCCGTATCCTTTCATGCTGAGTAAATGAAATGCCCTCTGTTTATGGGAAATGTTTTGGACAAACAGACGTATTGCCCAAGCACACAACTTTATGGGAAATGTTTTGGACAAACAGACGTGTCGCCCAAGCACACACCCCCCCTCCCACGTTCCTATCGGCTGGAGTAGAGCCTGGCTACACCACCCTCGCCCCTCTCAAAATCTGCTGTTGTGTCTGAAATCTTGTGGGGAAATGATGAAGAATCTGTGATAAGAGCAAGGGCTTTTTTTTTTTAAGTACCTTGTCAGGGAAAGGTTATCTGATCTTGTTCTTTTGTCTCTGGAAAGCCTTTAAAACAATGCGCCATCTGCTACTGTTTGGTACAAGCAAGCCGAGGTCTCTTCTGCCAGAAGCTGGCTTGCTATTGTTTGCTGCTTAACCCTTTCGGCCACAAACTTTCCCTTGTCTCTATGCAAAATACGTGGGTCTTCTTATTTTGTGGCCTCCCACCAGCCAGCCTCCCAGGATTCCCCAGTTCCACTCCCAACAAAGCCACTGGCCTTAGGGGACGGGTTTAACAAAACCTCTTTGCTGCTCTTTTCCCCAACTGTCTACCTGGGGCAATTAGCATGCAACATGGTGATGGCAAGGATCGGTCCCAGACCCTTAAAAGGGACTGCAAAAAAGATGAGAGCAGGGAAGTGTCCCAGCCCGTCTGCATCTCTTCCCAAAGGATGTGCGTGTCAAAAAATTAGACCTGGCCAGCAAATGGAAGAGGACTTATCAAACAGGTGAAATTTTGGCAATGGTTTTAGCTGTTTGGATTCCAGAACTCCAAGCAAGTCAGACGAGGGCAGGTGCCAACTGGTATCAAAACCCCTAAGATGGTCTTTTAGTGCTGGACTGCATGGAGCATATTAAATGCATCAGTTGTATTAAGCGACTACTCTATTTTTCTGAATTCTTGGTTGAATATCATCTTACCCAAGTCCTTCTCAATCCTGCTGGCTGCAGAAGTGCAAGGTCCCGACCAGCAACTGGTTGAAGTTCCCAGAGTTTGTTTAGGAAGTACCGTAGCGGCTTCTTCTCTCCAAAGCTCGGATGTGCAGCGATTCCTTTGCTCCGCTGGTGCTCTCCATGGACTGAATTAAGCCAACACACACACACATATAGAGAGAGACACTTACTGGAGGGCAGATAAGATAAAAACTGCATTGTGTTAGCATGGAGCAGGGTTATATCTGGACCTTGGGATGGCCTGGGAATTGGGGCTCCCTTGCCTTAGCTCAGGTTACGCCCAGGGGGATGTTTCTGCCCCTGTGTCGACCTGCTGTCCCAGGCAAGCCTGATTCTGTATTTGCCGGTGGACGCTGGCATTGCTAACACCTGCTCCAGCATCTGACATATAGCACTGTGCTCCTGTCGTACAACTCCTCTGAGGGTCTCAGAGCAGCTTGGGAACATGAACAGGTTAACCCTGGGATGTGAGGAAGCCTTTGGTAGCTTTTTTTTATTTGAAAAGCCTGCCTGTCCCCATCAGGGCTCCTTTGTGCTGGAGTTTGGTCAGACAACCACCGAACCAAAAGATGATCCTTGGCCCACAAAAGTTTGTAGTCTTGGTATTATGGCCATTTTACAGGTAGGGGAACTGAGGCTATAAGGGAAGAAAAACCCACACGTTCTTGTCTCGGTGGCTTGCTTTTCCTACTTAGCCAGATGCTTTTTTGCAACAGCAAAAGCGTACTAATTGCAGAGTGGGATGGAGAAACAGCCCAGGGTCAAGGAAGGGACTTGAGAACGTGGTCACCTTTCGGCAGAAACTCAGGGAGTGGGATCATAGGATCTATCCCTATGGTCCATTTACCTGAGTGACCCAAAGGAGTCTGCACTTCCCCACTCAGAAACAGCCCATAAGGGTTAATGAAAGGCAGCCTCCTGTCTCCCACGTATAAATGAGCACCATGTTAAGAACAACAGTTATGAAAGCAGTGTAGACTGGTGAGGAAGCTGTGGCCCGTCCTGGAGAGATGTCAGAAATACAGGTTAAGAGGCACTGGAAGGGACAACTTAGAGAGCCTGATAAACAGGGAAGGTGATACGGGGTCCTTGAAAGGGCTTGCAGTATGGGAGGAAAGGGTCATAGCATGCCTAATGCAGGGTCCTGGGGCCAGTGCCGAGAGGAGAGGGTGGACCTCGTTCCCCTAGCTCCCCTTCTCCTGGGGTGAAGCGTCCACAGACTTGTGCACCCTGGGATGGAGAGACCTCCAAGACTGGGCATCCAGCTCTCTGGGCCTTGGGCTGCAGAGTTTGCATTGATTTGGCCCCTGCAAGGGGTGAAGTCCCTAAACTACACAGGCAAAAATGTCCTGAGTGACAAAAGGACAGCTATCCCTGACCTGGCCATAAGGCTGTGGCATGAGCCTGCTGGCACACGCAGCAGGTTAGCAAAGCCAGCATTTCTTTGAGGTCCCATTCCCTGTTTGTGTCTGTTAACAAGCACTCTGAGCTCGCATATAGCTGGGTAGCACGCGTTGCAAGTGCATCCATGCATAGCTGGCCTGATAAAAGATATTACCCTAAGAAATCCTTGCCCTTTCTATGGGTAAAGTCGCACGTAGTCCAACAAGTTGTTTTTGACTCCACACCGTTGGATTAACCCTTCTTATTCAACTATCGTTTGTTAAATTTCCATTGATGGAAGAGTTGACTATAGTTTGACTGAACGATCTTAGCAGGCAGTGTACAGAATCCCCTTCCCTGTACCTCTCTGACAAGGAAAAAACTAATGACCCTAATTGCCAATTAAAAGGCCCACGTCCTCTGAGCGCTGCATTTTTCACCACTGCTGAAAAATGGAAATATCTGCCTCTGAGTTTTTAACTAATCGGGGCTCACTCGCACGCGCCACAATTTAACCTTTGCAAGGCTCCTAGAAACCTTCCTATGCAATGGCTTGTATCTGTCTGCATGGTGGTGCAGGGACTTGCGGTGAGCCAGGTTGCAATGGGTATAAATGCTTTGATATTGGGACCCATCTAGCAATGCAGCCTTGAGATCCAAAGGTGCCTGTGCTGTGCCCAGCATTGTGGGTAGGGGTAGGGAGTCCACTTGCAGCCGGGATGTGAGCTCAAACCACCTCCCGGACAGTTTGCTCCCTTGCCAAAGGTTCTGCTTGGAAGTCCTTTAAAAGGCCCCGTGCAAAGCTGAGCTAAAAAGATTAGGGAGGAACGTGTGAATATAGGCAGTTACTGACCCAGCCGCAGCTAGAGCAAGGCAGGGAGGCGGCGACAGCCTGAAACAGTGACAGATGTTTTTATAGAGAGGCGGGAGAAACACTTGCACATTCATTTTTATCAACAATCAGCTTAGGGAAATCTCATTTCATTTTTCTCATTAATAAGCTTTTCTTTGTTTTTCCTGGCACAGAATGACCCAGAAACAGCTAAAACGATTAGAGCAGTTCCTATGACTCGTGCCTGAGCTGTCTTCAGAAAGCAGGTGCAAGGTGGAGCGGAGAGGGGAGACAAAGGAGATTTCCTAGGAAGGAATTCAAATCTTGGTCCCTGCAAATGCTGTCGGTTTGCTATCTGCATTAGCACTGAGTGCTGGTCTCTTAAGGGCCTGTGCTGCTGCTTCAGGAGGGTCTATATTGGGGCACAGCTGCCCCTGGTTGAGACAGGGCCTGCGTTTCTCCCACTCCTGACTGTGGAAAGACCTCTGTGGACATTGCTGAGATTTGGATCCCGTGCAGGGAATATGGGTAGGCAGGTAGCTAGGAATGTAGGTGTGCTAAGGAATCTTCCTAGCCTGCGACCATCACCGTGGTCTTCGAGTAGAAAGCTGAGCTTGGCATTTGCCTTGTCCACAGGGAGCTGCACACCTGATTCCCTAAGAAGAACCTGCAAGGAAAGACATTTTTTTTTTTTTTTGCAAAGATCTTGTCGGTCTAATAAAAGATGTCATCTCTACTACGAGTCCTGTTTGCTTCTGGAGTAACTTGTAACTTCAAAAACCACTTGTAACTTCAAAGTGGAGCGACCTCATCTATAAGAACGGATTATCCTTTACATACACTTAAAAGCAACATCCTCTGCTGGGTCTGATGGCAGTGGCTGCAGGAGGCAGCACGCCGAATTCATTAGCATGAATTGAAGTCCATCTCGGAGCACTGAGTAGATAAGAATAGATCCTGTAGCTGCTTACAGTTAATGGGTCTGATCCAGAAAAATGGAGAGCACCTTCAACTCTGGTTTCTTTTCCATGGCCAGTGCCAATGTGGAGGACCAATGTTAATATTTTGGACACCTGTTTGCACTGCACATGGGTGATAACTGCTGCACGGTCCTTGCAACTGATGCATCAGAGCAGAAATTGAGTGTAAACTTTGAACTTCATAGCTCTATACAAAGAAGGGACTTGAACTTTACTGTTCATATGACTAGCAAAAATGTGCTCTCCAGGCTCCTCTTTCCACTTTCCTCATATTAATTTGGATTAGTAAAGATGTTAATAATCTTCTTAGCCTTGTACTATATTAAAGGCCATGGTTACAACTTGTGGAGGGAGAGTGCACCAGTCCAGGACAGGGACCACACAGAGACCAAGACACTCTCACCCACCCCTGGGAACTGTAACGGGGGGGGGGGGAAGGTCTATGCCCAGCCAATACAGGGGTACATTAATCGATGCTTTGTCCAGCCTGTGTTTAAATGTCCCAAGCGAGATCCTTCCCTTAGAGCTGAGTCTGTAGATGGGTGGGTGGCCTGCGCTCTCACAGTGGCCATTAGTGTGGTCCAGCCCTACAGTGGGACAGTTCATAGAGATTTTTTATTTTTAATCGAGAACTGCTGCTGAGCTAGCAGGATCTCCTTGCACTTCTGTCTCCTGAGTTGCTGGATTAGGTGCCCAAGCTTGGTGGCAGCTGGACAGAGTTCTTGGTGTCTGAGAGTGACTGCATGAGAAGGACCTTTCTCTAGCCCCTGTCTGCATTAAAACTGTTAAGACGGACTGGAAACACAATTGAGCATCCAGCTTGTCACTGTTTTCAGCGTAGTTTTTTCAAAGCTAACATTTCTTGTGCCATTCCCTTTATCTTTGTGAGAGGGGGGGTACGTGTCTATGGGCACACGCAGAACAGGCAGACTTAGCCGCTCTCCTGCTACTTCAGGAGTAAAGGGAATGAAAACAATTACTATAAATGAATCTATAGCATCCAATTGGTGAAATCGCTCCTTAATCCTCTGCAGAAAGGAGATCAGGAGAGATTTAACTAGGTACTCATAAAGATAATCAATTTATTCTACTTCTGCAATGCCATATGTTAAAACAACGTGTCTTTCGGGAGAGGGGATTCAGGAGGCATGATCTGTTATACCACTTCTCAAAATCGCTGCTGGGATAACCAACCCCTTCACATAGAGGTAAATGGACAGAACGCAACTAGATCCTATTTAAACAATGTCCAGTTGTGGTGTTTAGCAACGTAGTGAAAAATCCCAGTCTTGTGCCCAGACTGGCTTTACTTTTTCCACAGAGGAGAGACTCTAGGGCAGTGCTTCCCAGCCTTTTTAGACTCATGGCCTCCTTTGGAAAATGTCAGTTTTTAGTTATTGGCTGTTTTGTTTTTTTTTACTACAGAAAAATAGCAGAGCAATTCTTGTGTTGCGAAGACCTCGGAAAGACCACGTCGGGCCAGGTATTTTAACCGCATGCATTCCTATTTTGTAATCTCTGGTTTGATTTTGACAGTCATGTTTGCACTGATACTTGGCATGAGGTTGGTTTGGTTTTTAACTTTGAGTTTAGCTCGGCTTAGACAAATGCAGGGGACTTCCACCTTCAGACAGCATCCCGCGGCAGGGCCTGCACGATCCACACCGATCCCTCCAGCACTGACAAGGGTGAAATCCAGGCCTGAGGTTTCCGTAACCCAGGAAAGGGCATATAGACACCAGGCTGTATCCTGCAAAGGTCTCTAAGCGGGAATTTTTAAGCAGCGCATTTCCTTTTGCTTGCACCTTTTCACTGGCATTACCCGAACACGACCAGCAGATCAGGCAAGCGAAGGGGACTGCAGTGGCGCTCGGGGAGGGAATGGGGCTAATTTCCTGGCACACCTGCCAACAAAGCTGGCCCTCGCTGCTTTTGAACCCTGCGGGTAGGATGCAAACCAAGAAACCAACCTCTAAAGGGTTTGCTAGGTCAGCAGCCCCATCCAGTGGGCGACTGCCGAATTGTTGGGGAGAGTCGGTGAGACCTGCACCATCTGCTGGCAGGCAGCGAGTGCTCTCAGCTCCAGAGATCAAGGAGATCAAGGTGCTCTGCATCCTACAGCATCAGGTCCGCAGCTTTCCCGGTAGCCTAAAGCACTCGTATAATTGAGCTGTAGCTCAATTTTGAGTCGCTTCCCCTGGCAGAGCTAGTATCGTTTTATGACCCATGCTTGCTGATGACTCCGTGTTTCCCTGTGGTGGTAAGGACACATCCTGCTCGCTAGAGAGGGCTCGGCAGAGCTGAACGGAGCTAGCTGCACAAGTAGGCACAGAGGTATGGCTGGGCTTAGTCGGGGACAATGTGCTCTCTGCTCTGAGTCGACACCAGTTTCGAAGCCAGAGGTCCCTGCAAACTGTAGGTGCCGAGCCGGGCACAGCCAGGGCTCTCCCAGAGGTGATGCTGGGGGAAGCTCCCCTGGTCTGAATTGGCCCCTCTGCCCTCCCAGACTCAAGCCACTTTGATCCAAACTTCTGTGAATGCAGGCAGTCTCAAACAGATGTGGCTGAACTGATCTCCTGGCTCGGTATCAATGGGTGACTTTTTGGCAAAATCTACTTACTGGGCAATTCTCTGGCTCAAGCATGAAGAGCATCCTGCCTCCACGCTGAATTGGTGCCATTTATTTTTACGTGTGTGTGTGTGTATGTGTGTGCAAAGCGTTTTAGCAGAGAAGAGTCAATCCAGACTTAAGTTTACCTTGTCACCAGGCCCCTGTGAGATGGAGAAGTCATCAGTTCCCCTCGTGACAAGTCTGTGTCTGGATAGCTCTCGGCCTCAGCAAGACCTTTGAGGAAAAGATCATAAAGTAATAAAGATCTCCTCTGTAGGAACAGAATGGGCTGAATTTTGGCATCTCTTTTCCACTGGCTAGTTTATGCAAAAGCATCTAACCCTTATGCAGACCCAAGCACGGCAGAAAGGTGGGTTGGCAGTAATTATTATTAAACTGAAGGACATGGCTTGGACAGGGCACTTCCCAGCCCTGTGGCAGAGCCAGAAACAGAAATGCGGTCTCTAGTTTTACCAGCGGAAAGAGAACAGACCTGTCTGACCATGGTCCCAGTTTCCCTGGAGCCAACTTTGACTCCAGTCTTGCCCCCCTTGCTCCTTTTCCCAACGGAGAATCAGACGGGGAACAGCATTGTATCCCCACATCTGGAGGTGCAGCTTGGACAAATCGGTCTGCCTTCCCCATCTGCTAAAATCTGGTACCCCCGCTTGTATGAGAGGACCCGATGCTTCTCTTCTAGTGAGTCCTGTGAGCCTCCAGTAAGCTAATGGGCGCTGAGCTCCTGCGACACCGAGGGTCCCAGCTGCTTGTCCCCATGCCCTACCTTTCCATGCATGGCTCAGGATCTTGCAGTCATCAAAGCGTTCCTGCCTCGCAGAGGCCCATGGCACCTCCTTTCCAACGGCAAGAGTGTCTGACAAAGGAGCTAGTATCCCCCTCTCCCATCCCTGGGCTTCTGCTCCCGCAGCACTATCTGCATGTCTAGTCCAATCCAATCCATCCTGTTCCTGGTCTGGTGAAAGCCATGAGCCATTAGAAAGCGGGTCATCCAGACCCAGCAGTGGGTTCACTCTCCCATCCAGACCTTTTTCCCGTGTTTTGTGCCACGAGCATGGGGGAGACCTGCCAAGAGGTCCCAGAGCTGTGCATGCCAGTCCTCCATCATCAGAGTCTGGAAGATGGCTCATTGCCTTCAGCCTCTCTGCTGCAATCTCGATCCTGGCCCCCAGGGCCCTGGCCAGTGCATGAATGGCCTTCACTCTCTCCTGCTTGTTTCTATAAGGAGAGAGAGCAGAAGTGTCCTCGGAGGCTGAGGCCTTGAGGTGACGTCTTGCAGCTTGCGGCGGAAGGAAAATGCTCTGGGGAGGCAAGCACTGCCGCGGGGAAGGGCTGAGCTCCAGGTCTTGGAGTTTCAAAGGGCTGAGGAAGCCCCTTTCAGATGCCAGCGAAGGAGTAAAGTCTAACGGGGCTGCCGTAGCCAGTGATGTCTCCAGGCGCAAGTCGCTGTTTAAATGCAAAGGGGATCAGCATCAATGCATACGTAAGTGAGGCTGATCATAAAACCTATTCGATGGCTGATCATAACCTCCTCTAGGAAAAGGGTGGCTTGGGGGAGAGAAGACATCCACAGGCACCTGGCTTTCTACCCTCGCGCCTGGGTTTAGATGTGTTACAATGAGTGGGAAGGCATTTCAGAGGCTAATCCATTGCACGCTGGAGAATTAAAGGCTTTAGCAGTGTGAAGTATAAAAACGGGCTGCGACGCTGGCCAGCGAGAGGCTTTTGTGCCGTGCTATAAGCCAATTGCGCATTATTGGCACCAGACAGTGCTCTGGATCAAGCAAACCCAGCTGCAGCCGTGCTCTTTCTGTACCACTGCAACCTGCAAGCCAAGGACGTTGTATAATGCTTGGAGAGCCTGAACCCGCCAGTAAGAAGTCCACATATCCAGCCCCCTTGTTGGGCAGTCGTGCCACGTTTCATGCATTTTCATGTGTTCGCCTTTGTCCCCTCCCCACAAATGCAGCTCTCCTTTCCCACAGGTTGGCAAGGGCAGGTGCCAAGATAGGGCAAAGCACATGCAGGGGCAGTGACGTGCTTCCACGGGCAGATTTGTTTAATTTCAAATCCTGAAACCCAGATGTCCCGGCTCCCAGGGCCCCCCTCCAAGTGCCACAGTTGTATTAGCACCCGAAGAGGCAACTGGTTCTAGAGTGGCAACTGGTTTAGCCTTATTGATCCTGTTACTTAGTACAGCTTTGAACCAGCCCTCTAACCGATCTCTCGTATGCTCAGGAGAAAGGCTTAAGGGGTGTATTTGCTAAATGGTGCCTACTGTACCTGCTTCCTTGCTCTTCGCTTCTCAATAAAACATGTGACGTTGTATCTGCCCACTCCATAAAGGTCCTTTCCAGGCTTCTAGCGTTGCTCCGTTCCTGAAATGAGAGAGTAACAATCACCGGATGTGCTAAGTAACTCAAATGCTTGGGTAAGGTTTTGGACTTTGTCCCACTGAATGATTGGTCCATGTAGTTGGCCAAGTGTCTGGTACAGACGCCAAATAATGAAGCTATTCTTTCAGCTCCAGCTTGTGCTTTCAGCCCTAGGGGTCAATGTTTTGATCCCTTAATGACCCAAGCAGGGGCTGTCATAACGAGAACTCGATTGCTGTATTGTCCAGATAACTCTATCTCGGTGGCACTGAAGTGTTTTCGGGGAACACACCAGGACAGCTGGTGATGAATGGTTGAACTGGTTTCCCTCCCATCACCTTTTTCATTCCCATGCCCCTCCGTGTACTCACGTGGTTGGACGGAGACCGAGGACTTGGCGCAGGCCGAGCGGTTCCTCTGTGTCCGGCGTGGCTCTCCTCGACGCCTGGTTTCCTTGCAAACGCCTCTCGTTGTTTCCTGTACACTTCTTGCAACCTCTTCGTTCTCGCCTCCCTGGCCTGCTTTACAGACTCCCTCTCCTCTAAGCTCCTCTTCTTCCTCTCCGCAGTTTTTCTGTGCATAAATTCGTGAACTTCTTCTGGGCTGTAAGGGTGGGATCTTCCTACATTTACCTTCTTCTTTAGAGGCTGGGGAAGGTTTTCCTTCTCAGATGCTCTCTGTGCTGGCCAGTTGGAGCCTGTGGTTCTCCGTGGAGATGTGCCTTTCCCTCTGCTGTAGCTTGAGTTCAGGAAAGACCTAGACTTGTCCTCCTGAAAGCTGGGGGTAGTTGTGCCGCTGCCTGGGGATACGAGAGGACTGACTCCAAGGTATTGTCTCGGGTCTCCTGCTTTTCCTTCTTGAGCATCTCTCTGCAGACTTGCACTTGGGTTCTTGCTAGCAACTTGGCTTTGCATGCGCAGATCCCATCGTCTTTGTCTGGCCTCTCCAGCCAGAGCGCTGCCGTCTGTCTCAAAAGAACCGCTCTGCATAACCCGGCAGCTCTTCTCTTTGGGGCTGTTCCCTACCCGATCTCCCCCACTGCCCGCGTTTTCTCTGGAGCGCTGTCCTCCTTGCAGGGTGGCAATGGATTCGTTACCAGGTTCTGCAAAGAAAGCATTTGTTTTTAAGCAACAGGCATATTACTCTGATGATGCATCCCTTCCTCTAGCTCGCATGCTAAGCACCAAGCTGGCTTTCTCACACCCTGCTGTGGCCTCTTGCACCCGTACCTCAGGCTTTGCAAGGCTTTGTTACTCAGCTCTAAAACCTCAGTGCGTGCTGGGACTTATAACTGAAATTATCAGTTAAAATTAAATTATACTAGTACCTACAATGGGAAGAGCTTCCCCACCCCCAACCCCAAGTTGTAGCAGTCAGTGGCACAACTGATTTGTGAATGGAACTGCGATGACATACTTTTTTTAAAACTCTTCATCTAAGGGGGATCTTTGGGTACAACTCCATTTAAGATCTTTGTCCAAACACAGCGATGCATAATCTGACCGTATCCTTAGAGCCATAATAGACTCGTGGTGCCAACTGATTACAGTCGATTAATATAGTAACAGTTCAGTTAAGATAACAGCTGAGTAATGATAATCCTCGCATGGTGGGCTCTCATAAGGACTGCGATGGACCTAGACTATTACCCCAGGTTTCTACATGATCATCAACCACTTTAAGACCAGGATCTATGCCCCGGAAGTTGCAGGTTACCGTACCCGAGTTCTTCTCTCCAGTTTCATCTTCAGGCACGTCCCTCATTTTCGGGAATTTAGGAGGTGGGCCAAGCAACTTAGCTGCCAACTTCTGACCTTCTCGCCATGCAAAAGCACCAAACAAGTTGGAACCTGAAGGGAGGCGGGGGGAAGAAGTAACACAGCTGTTATTTGAAAGGAGGAACCTCAAATGCTCATAAAGTTTCAGCTGACTTCACACCACATGCAGAGGGGAGCTCCATAAGTTTTAATCAGACTGAATTAAAATGTCATTGGCGCTTGACATTTTAAATTGCAGAGTCGGCCACCAAAACTTTGGGCCTTCAAGCTCCCCAAAAGAGTCCATTAACCTTGTAGCAAAGGGCCGTGTTAGAGACCCTGGAGGTAGACGCGAGACGTGGAAGCTTGCAAGATGCAGGTCTTTTCTAAGAAGAACATCATTACAGTACATCCCATCTTGCATAGCCTGTTTCTGTAACTATTAATAAGCATTTCAATAAAGGCTGAGCTTCAGGGATCTTTCAGGATACCGGAAAAAGAAAGGCACGACCGTCTCCCGAGCCATGCGTCTATCGGCAGCTAACACATGCTTAGTCCCAGCGTGTTCCAGAAGGTATTGGGAAGCAGGAGTGTTAATGGAAAGATGATTTTATTTGGGATAATTTCAAGAGCACTCGAGTGAACTAATTTATTTATAAACGGGTGAGAATCAGCAGGATACAGTGTCGGAAAAAAAAAATCGATGGGCAATCCAGTATGAGGAGCCGTGTATAATGCAGAAATAAATGATACAGCATGAGGTACAAACAAATGATTCTTCCTTTAATATGTGGTGTCATATCATAGACAACATTTATCAAAGTTTTACTTCATAATTCTAGATTACATTCAGGGGATGTCGATACCCAAACTGATGTCATTATGTAGTGATCTGAAACGTTCCTCCAGCAGAAGAATAGTAGCAAAAAAAAAAAAAAAAAAGGCTTTTGCACGGTGGGATCCTGAACTTAGCTGCTGATTGAGTATTGAACCAAGTTAGAAACATGAGTTTTTAAAGGGAGAATTTGCTAATAACCACTAGGATGGATTTTTGTCGAAGATGTTTCTGCACCTCGGCAGGCCATTGGGCGCATAGAGCGAGTGATATAATCGCAGGGCATCTATACACATGCTCCGGGAGGGGCGTACTTTAATTAGAGAGGCTCTGAAAGCTGCTCTAATTCAAGTGCCTGCAGCGTCACGTGTATTTAGTGCCCTACAGTTCAAAATGGCAGCAGCAGGAGCACTTTAACTAAACCGGAGCAGAAGTCCAGCATGTGTATAGGTGCCCGTAGAGAAATACGGCTGGAAAGGACTTCAGCAGGTCATCAAGTCCAACCAGGGAGCAAACCAGCAGCCTTGGCGTTACTAGCCCCATGCTCTAAAAGCATTTAAAGTGATTTGACCCTTCTTGAGTTCCTCGGTACGCTGAAAAGCCGGGCTGCAATTAAACCAGCGCTCTGGGAGCCTGGACAGTTTGTGATTTATAGTGGGATACTCCAGTTCTCTGTTTAAACATCCGATGGAAAATGCAGGGCCGTATCCTCAGCTCACATGAACGGGAGCGATTCCATCCATCGTGACGCTGCTATAGCTTATTGCACGAGCTGAATTTCCAACACGTGCACAGAGCCCCTGGCAGTATTTGGTGCTTGTGAGTTTGCCTGTAATTGCAGAGACTTATCTCAACTGGAGAATTGAGGTTGTGTTAAAAAACGAATCCTGCTAGCCAAGAGGATGAAAGTTATTTTGCAGATTGGGGGCATCCTTCCATCTACACTGTCTGCTGAATGATAGCCCCCACTCCCAGCAGGTAGCCTGGAGGTCTCCAATCCACTTTCTGGCCAGGCCCAACTCCATTTAGGTCGTGAAAGTGGAGCCCGAAGTGAGCGTTCAGACTCCAGCGCCTGAGAAGTTCGGGCTGTTCAACATTTTAATGAACCAGATTTCGGAGGCATTTGATTGTTCGAGCTGCACGGGAATAAAAGTAGAGGCGGATTTGCTCATTAGGCAGCTTTAGACTTTAAACATCTGTTAGTATTTCACGAAATGCAACGGATGACAAAATTTGCTCCAAGTGTTTTCCTCCTGCAACAGCGCCTAATTTGACTTAAATCTTTATTTTCATTCTATACCATTTTTTTTATTAGCTACAAAAGCTCTTAGGCCAAAGCTCAAGAGCAGACCGAATCCCTGCTGGAAGTCTTTGTTAGGGAGAAGCTACCTTAATTTAAATCTTCTGTACTGTAGTTTTTCCCCCCCTTATGAACAGATGAATATTTTATAGCTGTTGTGACTTAATTTTTTGTTAACTACAGCAAATTTATAATTCATCAAATTCCCAAGTACTTTGCTTCTGACCTCTGACCCCTCATTCATCTCCTCTTAGCCCTGCCCTGGCTTTTTCACTGACAGAAATTAATGGCCAATAAAGACACCCTGACGTTGGCAGTTACAATGATGAATGTTTCATATGGCCTGGTCTTATTATGACCCACTCTTTGAGGAAGATCGAGCCATTTTTCAAGCAATCCATTAAAACAAAAAGAGGAGGGAGAAGGAAATTATTTTATATTTCATGCATTTTAAATAGCGCTTGGGTAACGGAGCTCACTGTATGGCTATACTGAAAATTTCATCTGCATGATATTAGACGGGGGATGTTTTTGCTTTTTTTTTCCCCTAGTCCCAGACTCCTTTTTAAATAGACCTGCTTCAAATAAGGAGCACATACAGTATTGTTTGCTTGTTTCCTACAAAGTTCGAATGCAATCTCTTTAGGACAATGGGAGAGGAGGGTTGAAGGGACCTCAGGAGGTCACACCTAGTCCAACCTCTGCTCCAAGCAGGACCAGCCCCAACTACATCATCCCAGCCAGGGCTCTGTCTAGCTGGGTCTTAAACACTTCCAAGGATGGAGATCCCACTACCTCTCTGGGTTGTCCGTTGCAGTGCTTCACCACCCTCCTAGTGAAAGAGTTTTTCCTAATATCCAACCTCAACTTTCCTTGCTGCTACTAGAGCCCATTGCTCCTTGTCCTGTCATCTGCCCCCACTGAGACCAGTCCAGCTCCATCCTCTTTGCAACCCCCTGCAGGGAGCTGAAGGCTGCTATTCAATCCCCCTCAATCTTCTCTTCTGCAGACTCAATAAACCCAGTTCCCTCAGCCTCTCCTCGAGTCATGTGCCGCAGCCCCCAAACCGTTTCCATTGTCCTCCTCCGCAGGACACTTTCTTTAGTTAGTTTGTAAAACAAAATAGAGGCACTAAATGCATTAGGGTGAGGGGATAACTCATCCAACTCCTTTCCTCTTAAGTTTCTCTGCTGAAAACAGGGGGAACATGAACTTTGCAGCCAGAGATGTACGTTCAGACTTATAAAGAGGCTGACGTTCCTCACACAGAGTTGCTCTAGCAGTTCAAAGTATGATTTAAAATTGGCAAGATTGGTCTACAAGCCTGAGAGAATTCAGTGCCCAGCTCCGTTGTGCTTCCCTGAAAAGCCCAGCCTGTACTTATTCAAGCCCCGGTACTCTACGTATATAATAGATAAGACTCCACGTGACACTGTTGGGGAACGCCACGCTTGGTTTAAATCCTGCTGCTGGTCAATGGTGCATCAGTGCAACAACTGAGGAGCCAAAGTGAGGGACACCAGAGTCACTTGAAACCACAAGAAGCATCTCAAGTGCACAAGAGTGCAATGCTTCCCATTTGACCATGAGATTGGCTATTTCCACCTGGTCTTAATGACTCCATTGGGCACAACTACCAGTATGGGACCCCCTCTGCCCGTCCAGACTACCTGTTCACACTCACAATACTTGGCTCCTGAAACACCAGCACTGTTGTTACTAGTACTTTAATCATTGCTGGTTTCTCTGTTAAACCCTAATTTGAGAAAACGGTCACAAACTTAAGGGCGAGGTTGCATTTAAGATGATAGGACATGGCATACTCCTAAAGTACATGTTTCAAAGCTACCCTGTAGATGCGTGGGTTCAAGCACCCATTTAACAGCAACCATGACATTTTGCCAGTCGAGCACTTTTTCTCTGGCCCCTTTGCACAGGTCCTGTGATTTCCCCACTGCCAGGGGACTATTTGGTTCACGTAACTTGTATCTTTTACCTTTATTTATCCGTGTCTTCTTAGGGACGGGGGACTTGGATGGAGTCAGTCCTTGCTTTTTCCTCGGTGTCGCACTTGGCCCCCTCTGGGCTTTAGCCATGAGAAAACACACAGAGGAGAGAGGTTTTAGAGAGAGAGAACTGACTGGTGAACACGACTGCTTTTGCTTATGTCTTAAGCCCTGGAAAATTAATGTAGATGTGATATCCCTAACGGGCTGCTACAACCTGCTTTTCATTGCTAACTACATCTCTGGATTATAGACATAACGAGTTTACCTTGACTATTCATTATTGTGCTTATATAGAAGGATGGTGCTATAGAATATGAATTTTCTAGGAAAAAGGACCTCTTTGCCCTATTTATGATTGTTTTTAACTAGCTGGAGAGGCTTTCTGTGCGGTGAAACCACCTCCTGCTTCTCAGCACATGTCCAACAAAAGGCAGAACCTCTGACCAAGCCCAGGTGACTAACAGCTTGGACTCCAGTGTTTGCTGTCTCACACACATGCTATCTGGGCAGTATTTTGGCTCATCCACCCAAATGTATATTGTAGAATATATGGAAATATCTGAAAAAAACCCACCCTTACTTAATGCAGTGTTACCCTCCTGGCAGCACCCACCTGGACTGTAGTTGTAATCCCTCCAGCATTCAGTGTCCGTGAACTTTGCCACTTGTGATCTTTCAGTCTCTTTTCCAGGCAGGAACTGAGCAGCTTTCAGATCCACCGCACTAAACCCTAGAGGAACAGAAACCTTAGACATGGTCAGGGAGAAGGGCAAGCACCTTTGCCAGCAGCGAGCGGTAGGGTTGATGCACGTGTAAAAAGTAGAAGCCAATCTGAAGCAATGCACTAGTCCTTTGAAGCAGTTTAAACTGTAGTCAGACAGACTCCCTGACACCGGGGTTTTGCCCCAGGATAGGTGAGGGCATTATGCTTGTGATAAAAGACTGCTGTTGTCGATTGAGAGAGGGGCCTTTTGTGATGTGGATATGTGCCCAGAGGGAACTGGAAATCATTGCTGAACTGACCACCAAACCACCCTGGCAGGAAAGGTTGCCTGGCCAAGACTTATGGGAAACAGGAATGTGGAGATATCTAAGCAGGGCTCGTGGTAGAGGTGATATGTTTTATTAGACCAACTAGATTTTTCAAAAAAAATTCTTAAATTGCAAGCTTTCGAGCACAAACATGAACTTTCATTTCAACCCAGGAGAACTTTTACAATCTTTTCTCCTATGCCTGAAGAAGGCTGCTTGCAATTCAATCATTTTGTTTTTGCAAAAATCTAGTTGGTCTGATAAAGATATCACCTCTACCATGAGTCCTGATTCCTTTTGCCTCTAGACCAGCACAGCTACAGCCTGGATACCTGAGATATCTAATTGTGAGTAATGGTGTTGATTCCCCCTCTCTCACTGAGCGAATCGTTGTGTTATATTAGACAAGTAATACTTTTAATGTAATTTTTTTTGTAGTATTGCTGATTATTTTTTGCCAGTGCTATGTTTCCATTTTCAGCCTGTTTTCCCTAGCGTGATGCAGCCCTAGCCCCCCATTAGCTGAAATGACAGCCAGGCTGATGGACTGGACTTAGTAGCAAGCATGTGTCGCTGGTCAGGTCAGCCCATCGGTGCCTCTTCGGAAACCACAGATTTTGCATTGCTTTAAGCCAGGGCTATGGTTACAACTGTGTTCGCAGCACTTTGGGTTCAACAGCAGCAGGAAAGCAGGCTGAGAGCCTGATGCTTCAGCAGTGTGCTAGCTCTAGCGAACAGACTGACATCCTTGGTCATACATGCTGAGCTACACAACTGCTTTAAATCGCCCGTTGTGCCTCTCCATGCTGCTGGACTACTGTTTCTCATGTCTGGCTTGAATCTCTTCTCGTGCTTACTATCTTGCAAATGTCGTGCACAGTATGCAGGGAAGGCAGACTGGCTCCTTCATGCTGGCAGGGAGGTCAAAGGGATAATAAAATGGATGGAGACCTTGAAACCAGTCCAAGTGCACCTCCTTCCTTAAGACGCATCAACAGACTTTCAATAGTGGCAACTAAATAAGCCATTTCTTTTGTGAGCAAACCTGCAACCCCAAACCTGCAACCCCAAGGAGAGGAATGAATGGGGCAACTTCACTGACTTCTCTGTGTGTTGGTGCAGTAAAAGGGGGCTCCTGTTTATGTGGAAAGAGGGAAGGAAACCTGGGGTGGGGGGAGAAGGGTGGATTTTTTTGACATGTTGGAAAAGGGCACTCGGGAGGAGGATTGCTGAGCAGACGGTGGGGTGGTGGTTGATTCTCGGTGACTAGTGCAAGCAAGTTATCACAAGTGTAGCTGGCCAAGGGGATGCTCGTACGGCGGCGTGGTGTGGCGTGGCAGTCGGGAGGCTGCAACCATCCCAGCAACAGCACGTGGTGCTGGTGGGTCCGTGTCATTTATAGCGGCCAAAGCCAGGCCTCCTTGTAAACGGAGCTGTTGCAAGACCCCTGGGGAAAGGCACCGATTCATGCCTAGCACCTGCCACGCAGCGGGCTGCAAGTCCAGCCCAGGACAACAAGGGTTACTGACCTCTGTAGACTGGGGCTGCGGGAGCAGCTGCCACTTTGCGAACCTTTCTTTTCAGTGGCCGTCCGTGCAGCAGGTCCCCGGCGTAGACAGCGCTTGGCTGCTCCTGCTCCTGGGTCAGAGCCCGGTGCCGCTGCCTCTGCTCCCGGATCCTCTCTTTGAGTTGCTGCAGCTTTCCAGCATGGGATTTTTTCCTCGGCCCCTCCAGCTCTGGAGCAGCCGGACTCTTGCTTCGGGAGACGGAGGGTGTGGCAGGCTGGCGTGCCCTGTCCAAAGAAGCATCTCTCCAGATTGCACCTGGGCCAGCTGAGAACTGATGGACACATGCAGGGGACCAGGGTGGGGAGCCAGGAGCACTCCCCCTCGGTCTCATGAGGCTCCGCCGGCTTCTCTCTTCCTGGTCACTGACACTGTCCCGAGTCCTGGGTGCACATGGACTCCACGGGGCAGACCACGTCCTGGCTGCGGCGGTGACGCCTCCGACCTCCGCTGTATCGGGGCTGCATGTCGCAGAGTGGGACTTCCCCCTGCAAGGAAGAGGAATCATTTAGGTGGACCCATGTCTTGCATCGTGGCTTTCAAAGAACAGGGGATAAAACACTTGCATGGGTTTTCCCTGCCTTTTAGAGAAAGGGGAAAATAGATGTAGGGCCCTTGGGAATGGCAAATGTCAGCCAACGTGCTAGTGAGGGGCTTGACGGTAGTTTAACTAAGAGGTTAGATGATGGATTTGTATAGGATGATTGGGATAGCAATGATCCTGCCTCAGGCAGGGGGTTGAACTAGATGACCTTTGGAGGTCTCTTCCAACCTGGCTTCTCTGTGATTTTCTTTGATGTAAATGCCAATTGGGGTTTCTAGAGCACCCTCCTGGGAGGGTCTCCAGGCTCCACCGTGATCTTCCTCCTGCCCATGTAACGACCTTCCCTGTGTGGCAGGAGGGGAGGGAGGGAGGGAGGGAATGAGGCAGAAAGAAGTGAAGTGAGTTGCTCAAGGTCTTGCCACAGGCTTGTTTCAGCGCCAGGCAGGAAACCCCGGCGTCCTGACAGCACATTCGGCTCCAAGCACTTGGTGACGCTCGCTCTCGTTTGTTCAGCCGGAAGAGGAACAAAGCTGCAGCCCCGGAGCAAAAGAGGACTCTCCGTTGGGTGCTAGCAGTGTTGGGTCTCTGACATGCTGACTGCTGTCGAAGCAAAGGTTGGAGCTGCGGTCTGGCTTTTGATCGGAGTTGTTCATCCGAAAAACACCGGCTAGTTACCCACGAGTTAGGTGTTCCCGTCACTGCGCTGTACCTGCTGCACGGACTGCTCCCGCTACACTCGCCTTCGCTGGAAACAGATCTGTCTTGGAGGGTCTGGCTTCCTGTAACACAGTGGCATTAAGTCAGTAAACGGCTGGGGTTGTCCGAAGTTCAGGTCCGGCTGGAGGGACTGCCACTGACTTCCATGACTGCCTCCTCAAAGGCACTGACCCTATAACAGGCCGGTCTGGCCTTGGCGCAGGCCCCGTGGTTCGGAGTAGGGTTGTTTCTACCGCCTTCATTTTTCATGGGGCATCCCCAGCCGCTCGGGCTGCTAGCCTGTCCTAAAGCCAGTGCTACCCCATGTTGAACGTGAGTGCTAGTCAAGCTAGCTTGATTTCGGTTTGCATGCATCCCACACGACACCGTGCTTAAACTATGCTGCCCGCCACTGGGCTGCATGTGTATTAGACTGGTGCCACTTAAGCCGCAGGACTGCATTTCAATCCCTATTCCCCTCCCTCTTTCTCCTTGGGGCTTTGAGACCGAAATAAAATTTGTCTGCAAACGCTGTAACCTTAGACCAACACGGCTACAACCAAAACCCTATGGGAAGGCTGTAACCTCAGCAAAGCATCCATTTCCTTGCAGCAGATTAGCTCCCCATGCATCTCTCATTTCCTTATTAACAAGACAAGGACCCCAGGCAAGGTTAAGCCATCTCCATGGGAATGGTGCAAATCCGTGGTGCTCGGGGAAGAAATAGCCTCCATAAATATCCCCCAGTTGTCAGCTTGAAGGGTTTGCTGCAACGAACCCGCACTTAGGAAAACAAATATTCAGCAAACGTGGAAATAAAAAAACTCTGTTCCTGGCCTGCGTGCCCGAGAGGTCGGGCAAACTTCCTGCTTCGTTCCTCGTTCCCTTTTGACTCCTAGGGAATCTTTCTGAAACGCGCTGCCAAACAGCGTATGGTTTTTACTTTTTACGTGCATGATGTCCACGCAAAACCCCCAGCTCTAGCAAAGTGGACGGCTTTTACCTTGATTTCATAGACATTAGGGCTGGAAGGGACCTCGGGAGAGCATCGATTAATGCAGCGAGTTGAAATGAATAGATGGACTAGCCACGGGATAGTCAGGCGGCTTGTGTGTCGTAAAACCCTATGGGCAATACAGTAGCTGTCTTAAGGAGAAAACGCATGCTCCTACAGCATGGGCAGCCCTGAGTAGCTAGTTGTTTTCCACCGACATCAGCCAGCCGTTGCCCTTTTGTTCCCCCAGCCCCCTTCCCAGCGCAGGTCCCCACTCCCAGCGTCATCTCACCAGTAAATGGAAAGTCACCAGGGCTCCTTTCGTGCCATAGTCTTCTCCGGGCTTGCCGAGTGTTGGCGTAACTCTGTTCCCCATGACTAAACTTGTTCTCAATTCTCTGGAGCTGTAAAAGGGCAGATTTCCTTTTTAACAGGGGCATATGCTGCATTTCTCGAACCTTTTTTTTTTTTCCTGTGGCATATGCTGGTTCTGACTGTTCAGTCCTAGCTGCTCGGCGTGCGTAAACACTGGCAGGTCTGGGCACGTTAAACCTGGTATGCTCTTACAGTTGGGAGGAATGTTGTTGATGGGAAAGACGAGAGGCAGAACTAACTCGTTCTTCATCATTTGCACTTCTAACGAGTTCGAACGTTTTCACCGGACTTCTATTCTTGTCTAGAAACACGTGGACAGAAGCCAATAAACACCCATCCCACGCCAAGGCCCTGCAGATGCAGCTACATTTCTCGGGCACGCAATTTGAAAGGAGTCGATGGGACTAGAGCAGTGGTTTACAATCCTTTTTTATTATTATTTGTGGACCCCTAGAAAATTGCAGGCCCCTTTTCATTGTAAGTGTGGGTATTCGCACACTGTTGATCGATCGTAGTCCTCTTTCACGGACCCCTTAGACATAGTCTGTGGACACCCAGGGGTCCGGACCACTGCGCTGGAGGAAGACGGGCACAATTTCAGGGATCTAGGCCTTTCCTGCTCCTATCCATGCTCTCATCCTGCTCTTAGGGCAGAAAGGAGGTATCTGATGAAATCCCAGCCCCATTTAAGTGAACGGGAGTTTGGTCATGGACTTTGTTCAGGCAAAACCTTTATTTTAAGCGGTCACTATTTGTATTTGAGAGCTTGCTGCAAACCTCACTTACCACATCCTTAGCTTGGTGAAAGCTCTTCCAAGCTGAAGCCACATCTAGGGAGAAGACAGAGATGAAAATAAGGCTACGACATGTTGCAATGTTTCTCCTCCCAAGAGCTGGTCTCCCCCTGCGGATAACTGGAAAAGTATGGGGTGGGCCAGTACGCTTTTGTAAGCTTATGCACGGGAGCTTGTCCCAGTCACTGCTCTGCTCGCCCACCTGGGTTTGTACCTCATCTAATACTATCAGGCTTCAGTGCCATTGTCTCCACTCAGATTTATGGCTCGCTTTAGCTCTCCCAAGAACGCACCTCACCTGTAGGTGAAAAGGAGCAGGGATTGAGAAGAGCTGCTTTGAAAACCTCCTATTTTTGTTTGTCAGGCAGTACTTATCCCAACTAAAAACACTCTCTAGAGAAGAGTACAAGAACCCAGAGTCTTTCTTCAGGCTGCAAAAATTGCTGGTTTAAAAAGAAAAATAGGGAGAGTCTTTCACTCCTTTGAATCTATAGTCCAAATCCATCTACCACTTACCCAACAGAGTGGCTGATTCTTCATTTGCAAAGCTGCTTGCTTTCCAAGCCATGCCGCAGCTCGGGCTGGGTCGAGTCGGAGCGATCTTGAAACTGCTGCACGAGCCAGAGTATGGATGGATGTTATCAAACAGCTTCGGATAGGCAGAAAAGTCTTTCTCTTGCTGGCGGTTGCTGATCACTGGTAACCACCCAGTCCTGCTCGGGACAGAGAGGTAGTCAGGGCAGGGCATATCTGCACCCTACTCGTCTCTGATTTAGTTAGCCTGTAAGCTTTTGTAAGCGGTGGCTTATGAAACCTGTCAGCATCTGGCGAAGCAAGACCGCGCCTCTGATTTAGCTAGTCTGTAAGGTGCAACTCGACCCCACCTTCTGCCAGTGGCAGAGCAGCAATTAGAGCCCGGACCCCGGCTGCTTGCTCCGAAGCAGGGGCGTTGGGGGAAGACCGGCCCCAAAGAACCAGCTTACCTTGTTCTTTGCCAGCGACATCAGTCAGGGTCGTAAAGACCCTGGGGCTGGGGAGAGCATCATGGTCCTCCTGCCTAGTTGTGCTGGGGCATGCTCTTGCAAAAGGCACCATTTCTCCCCGGCCACGCAGGGAGACGGTCCTGCCAAAGGGCTGGAGTATCTCTCTAACAGACAAACCTCAGTGCCCCCAGCCCCAGGGGGGTGGGGAGGGAAGAGATCCCGTTGCAAAGCCCCCACTCTTCTGCTCTAAATAGGTCCGGCTGCTGCCCTTTGCATCTCTGTGCTGAGCTCAAGCATCACCGCACACAGGCACCCGGCTGCAAGGGTGTAAAACTAAAGGGAAGGTGAACCGCAAGTCACTCCCCCAGGGCGTCACGAAGAGCGGGAGAGGCCGGAGCAGAGCAGGGAACACACCTTTGTTTGAACTCTTTGTTCGGGGGCCAGGAGTGACAGCACAATGCCAGGCTGTTGCCCAAGCGAGGGGCCTGGGCAAGGATTTCAGCCTGCAAACACATGGCAGAGGGCCAAGGGCTCTGGGTGGAAGGCAGAGCCCCCCTGCAGGGATGGGATCTCAGCTGGGCAGCGGTCCGAGAGGTGTTTTTTTTGATCGATAGAAAAAAACGGCGCTGAGGCCACGCAGCATCAGGGCACCCAACCCCCAGCTCGGGGGACAGGGGACTGCAGGCACGTGAGAGCCCAGGGGAGCTCCCACCTGCAGCCCCGGACAGAGAAAGCAAAGGGATGCTTGACCCCGGTCCCCACGCGGGGAATGGGGACGCGATAGGCAGCCAAGGTGAAGCAAGAAGCGATGGCTGGGAGCCGAGAGGGGAGCAAAGCACAAATTTGTTCCCAGGTGAGGATAATTAATCCTGGGGGTCAGGTACCAGGGGATTCCCCATTTACTTTAAGTCGGGGGATAAATTGTTTGTCTCTGGTCCAAGCCCAGATACCGGACCTGAAGCAGGAGCGAATGCCGGGGAGTCCTGGGGCCCCTGCTGGCAATCGGGGAAGAGGAGGGCCGTGCGGCCGAAGGGTCTTTGCCTCAGGAGTGGGCTGCAAAGATCCTCTTTGCCCTCGCTCCTAAGGGGCATCGGATCCTACCTGCTCCTTCCTCCCTCTCTGCGACTAGTGCGATTTGTCCCTGCCGGGGTCGGCCACGTGCCCCAAACCCCCTTCTAATGAATAACTGGACAAGCCCCCATCCTACATCCAGGCTCCCCTCCACTTTTCTGCAGGGGCTTTTTCTCCTATGTTCGATCCTTTCCTTGGTGGTTTCCAGCAGGACCAGCTCTGGATCCTGTGCGGGATGCTGGCGGCGTCCCTCTCGCTCTTAGAGACACGTGGCGTAGGTCAGAGTCTCGTTTTTTATCTGGGAAGGAAATAGCAAGTTATCAAACCGGGGCCGCGAGGAGGAGCTTCACAGGGTGCACCCCCCGGGCTCAGATATCAGGATGTAATAAAAAAAAAAAGGCACCTTGCTCACTTCAGTGGATTTTTCTATTCTCAGTGTTTATTTCTAAGCTGCTGGGTGCGAGGAGTTGGCCTCTGGCGTGTGTGCTTGTCTCCTTCCTTTTTCTTTCCTGAGGCTGGCAATCCTGGGGTCACAGTCGATGTTATTCATTTCTTATTGTACTTTATGGAGGAGCCAGAGTAGGCACATATATGCCAGTACATAGCACGCGCTTTTGTGAGCTGCAGCTGCCGTGTGATGGGCAGACAGCGCTCAGCCGACGGCAGGTGGCACACTCGGCCTGCCGGAGGGGAAGCAGGCAAGTGGCCGCAAGCAGAGGCGAAGCAGAGAGGCGGGCTGCCGATGGCCATTGCAAGCTGAAGGCCCCCGTGATCGAGTTCCTGGCACTTTCCCCTCGTGCAATGATCCATCCCCGTGCAATGTATAGATAACTGTTCGAGGGAAGATGCTGAACCCTGGGGCAGGCAGGGCCCGTGCCTTTTGGAATAATATGGGAACCACCTCAGTTGGGACGAGACCAGACTGCAAGTGATGGAGGGGACCGAAAGCTCAAAGCGGGGGCTGAAGGCTCAGGTCCAAGTGAGGGATCCCAAGGGAGACAGTGCTCCCTGCTCCTAAGAGGGGTCCGGACAGCCAGCAGGGGTTTTTTTGTTAAAAAAAATATCTTTATGTATATAAAAGTGTATGTGTGTATAAAAATCCATACACACTTCTGGTCACTGATCATCCCACCATAGAAGCCCGCGCACCCATTACAATATACACACCTGCTGAATGACGCTCCTGTGCACCTGTCCGCAAGGCATCATCTCCCTCGCAAGCCCCTTGTCTCTCAGTCCTGTCCCCAAATACGGGGTTTAAAACTCAGTTCATTCGCTGTCTGGGCAGCCAGCAGGTGCTACCTGGAGAAATGCAGATGCACGCATGGGGGAAGGACTGGAAAAGGCCCCAGCGTATGCAGAACCTCCCTGCCTCGCGTCCTCTATGAGGGCGGGTGAGTGAGCATCTTGGCCAGTGCCGAGACGGCACGCTCCAGTTAACCAAAGGAGACGCTGCAAGGGGGGAATGCCTCCTTCCCTACCCTTCACCCTACATCCCTTCCAGAAGCAGAGAGGAAGTCGCTTCCCTTCTGCTGATTCCTGCTCCACCGCTCTGCTGCCGCAGTGCCTGCCGGGTGCTATGGGCTGTGCAACAATCCCATGGCTGCTGGGGATCGGACGGAGATGGGGCCACCCATCGCACCACTTCTCAGCTGGCTGCAACTGTAGAGGAGTGAACAGTTGATAGGGAACACTTCTTTTTCTTTTTATATTTTTATGAATTCATTGTAAGTCGGTTTTTGTTCACAAGTTGTCCACAAACAGCTTCAGATTTGCCTTTCGGAGTTACTAGTCTACAGTATTTGCAGCTAATTTTGGGATCTGCATTTTGCAACCACCTCCCTTGTTCGGAGTATTTCCTATCTCGGTGCGTGCTAGAGCTTGATGATTGATTGTTGGAGTTATACTGTACCACCCAGAGGCTCCACCCGCCCTGGGCAAGGAGACATGCAAGGGCCTGGTATCGATGGACCCAGCTCAGGAAGTCTAACTCTCTCCAGGCATGACAAACTGGAACAAATGAGGAAGCACAGTTAGAATCGGGGCTGTTATTACCATCAGCACACCATGGGTATGCGAGAGATCACGTGGTGTTTGTTCCTGTTTGACTACAGGATTCTTCGACTTGGCTCTCCTAGGAGCCTTGCCTCTCACAAACACCCTCTAATAAACTTTGAATGTTCTCTTTCCTTGGACATTTCTGCCAATACACACGTGTATACACCTGGAAAACACCAGCAGAAGGGTGTGTGCGTGTGAGGAGCAGGGGGGATATCATGTAATCAAGCAAAGCTTGGTGCAAACTTTTCCTCCCCTTCAACGTAGCAGTGCTCAGCTCCTGTATCGTGGGTGCATTTCAACGAGTGACGCAGAGAGGATGGCTCTGTAGGCCCCCCAGGAACTGCTTTCCAGAAGCTGCTGTACAACAATTTCTTTAGCTTTTGGTTTCAATTTGGTTCTTGCTTCTGTTTTTATTCCCTCAACTATTTGCTTATGTTTTAAAGTACCACCAGATGTGCGTTTGGAAATGGTGTGCCAGCCCTGTAGAGCTCTCACGTCCTCTGAAAAGCCCTCCAGATGTTGACACACAATCCTTTCATGTAGGTGGAGCCCTGTGGTCTCTGCAACTGGGTTGGAAAAGAAACTGCTGCGTCTCGTCCACATCTCTTAGTCCAGACCCTCTGATCCCAGCTATTTTGCCATGCGAAGGCTAACCCAGCAAAGACTTCCCAAGCTGCAGATCACAGCTATGGACTGGCAGCCCCAAGCCGGTGCTTTGGCCTCATTAGATGTTGCATTGCTGAAAATGCAGAGCGTGGCCAGCAATGAAACCAGAGGTATTCAGGGCAGGCCAGTGATAAATTAAGAGCCTCAGGTTCAGTGTGGTTTTTAACAGAAAACCATTGTCTTGCGTCTGAGTCCTGGGCCAGGAGGAGAAAGCGGTCCTGGGGAGCCCCAGCTGGAGGGGGGCCGTCTGGGCAGGTGATGGACAAGGCTTGGAAGCCATAAGAGGCAGCAGGGGTGAGGGTGGCATTGGCCCTGCCTGTCACCTTGTGCTCAGGTGCCTCCTGAGCTGTTGCTGCACATGCTGTGCTGCATCCACTTGACATCCCTTTGCCCCCAAAGTCACAAGCACTGTCCAGGTGTCCACACTCCCATATGGCACCTGGCAGCAAATCCCCAGCTGAGCCGAGCCGAACCGAGCCGAGCCAGGAGACTGACAGCTTTCCTGGCATGTTGCAGTACACACGGCGAAGTGTTAGGCCACAAATCTGCCAGTGAAACCTGTCTCTGGGCCAAGCACTGCCTTTGGCAGCGTGCGCATCGCACCCCAGCCGCTGAGCCGAGCCTGCTCTTGGCTGCAAGGAAGCAAATGCGCTCAAGCGAATGCATCTCGGATCTGCACCAGCAAAAGCACGTCGGAGCAGGATTCAACCCACCCGACCCCGGCGGACGGCTAGTAATTCAGGTGCTGGGGTGACAAGGCCCCCGCACTGCCGCAGCTCTATGTGATGTTGGAGGATTAACTTGAATCCCTCTGTGCCATGATTCCTCGCCTGCCTGGGCTGTTTGCTGCGAGGTCCCCGTGGCAGGGACTGCCAGTGGACGTGGAAGGCCCTCCATCTCAGGGTGGTTTTGTGCCGCTGTTAGTAATCCCATGCTCGCTGCCTCCATTGCTGCTAATGACCTCTGAGGTTCCCTTTTGGGTTTGGCGTGCAGTTTACTCGGGTTCAGACTGAGAGCTTGGCTCTTCCCGCACGTTATTGCAGTCACAGGAAACAGCAGGCCCCGGAACGGACAGTGTGTCGTGGAAGTCAGGGGGCCGGGCATTTGCATCACAAACCCAATTTTTTCAGAGCAGTTCCCGGGTAGCAGTCAACACTGAGGTTCAGACTTAGCAAGCTGAACGCAACTTGAACTGGACAATAAATGCCTGGAAACAAAAAGCAGCAAACTTATGATAAAGCATAAAACGCTGAAGTCGGACGGCCAAGGGGCTTCATGTGCACCTGGTCAGGGGCACAGCTCTCAGACCAGATCCATCCGTCTTCATAACTGAGATCTGAGCTGGAGCCTACAAATTGCTGAGTGTCAGCTTTTACTTCACCCAATCAAACCCGAGGCTATCTAAAATCCCAGGGGCTTGGGTTCATAGTTAGGACAGTGATAAATAGACTAAGCCATTGGAAAGTGTTGGAAGCAGTCTCCTCTAGA